ACGTTAAGCGAAAACCGAGAGATAGAAGTGATGATTGGTCTTCTCACCATGTGATAAAATCTTGGGGCAAGAACGGCATCAAGTGGATTTATGCGTAGATGTAAGTAATTTACCAATACTTCAGTGACTGCATTAGGTATCATCAATCCCCCGGCAGCCCCTATGACCGCTTTCACCTGTGTTCCCTGATATTTTTTTTTTTTTTAAAATAAATAGCCACATGAAAAAATATAAATGCACTTCACAAATTCGAAAGAAAAAATTCAACGTGTACGTAAACAAACAAAGGAATATATTTGAGGTGAGAATTTCTTGCCTTGAGAATAATGGTAGGCGCCATGGAAGACAAAGGCCTCTTATACGGTTGAATAAAATTCGCAGGTGATGGTGGTGGGGTGCCTCGATTTGGGATTGAGAAATCATACATTTGGTTATTGAGAAAAATACCGGTACTTGGTGACACGAATTTTGAACCAAAGTGAGAGTTTAGACTCATCGTCATGCTAACAACATTACGTTTTCCATCCACGACACATGCATGAGTCGTGCCGTGATCGTATACCTGACCCCACCTGCATTACTAACAATTAGAAAGACGAAAAATATAGATATATTAATACTTTAATAATACGAGGCAATGCCTACTTGCTGCCATAATGAGCCGGATCAAATGTTTTATTGTCATTTATCAAGCTCTTCAACTTTTGCGCATGACTCGTCGAGATCATGGTTGTCAATGTACTGGTGACATTCACAAAATCGGGATCTCCGAAATTCGTCCTCAGAGCAAGCGCGAATTTCAGCGCCTCGATCAAACGATGAATCACCAAGGTGATGTGTACACCAGCCATGTTATAGTTCGAAAGAATCTTCAGAATCTGTTATCCACAAAAGTTTATTAAAAACCCAATTTTTTTTATTTTTTTTATTTTATTCGTCGAAATTCAAATTAACTCACGAGAATCATGACGGCACCACCCGAAGCAGGTGGAGGGGCCGTAACAAACTGATAACCCATCGTGTTAGCGACCAAAGGTGACCTAATCAAAACCCGATACCTCTGAAAATCCTCCGGCGTAACAATCCCACCGGCCGCCTGAATGTCTCCGGCCAAACTCCTTGCAATCGGCCCGTTGTAAAATGCGTTCGGCCCGTTTTTCGATATGGCTGCCAGCGTGTTTGCCAGCTTCACGAGACGTACAGTGCTTCCCAAGGGAAGGAGCTTCCCTTTTGGCGCGAAAATGGCTCGGAGCCCTTGATCGGCTAAAATGAACTGCTCAGAGCCCTTCAGGGACCTGAAGAATGAATCCGAGATGTTGAAGCCGTTGCGCGCGAGATTCTCGGCTGGCTTCACGAGCGATTCCCATTTGAGTTTCCCGTATTTCGAGTGGGCTTTGTAAAGGCCCGCGACTTGTCCCGGAACGGCTATGGATAGAGGTCCGATCTGCTGCTTCGCGTAATCACTACGAAACATGTCCTAGCAAAATTTAGGCAAAATTTTCACGAAAATAAGTTTCATCTATAGATCAATGTAGGAAATATTGAGAAAACAAATGTTACCTTGGAAGCTCGTTGAGGAGCCATTTCTCGCATGTCGTATACTTCTGATTTTCCGTCTGACGAGCGGACGAGCATAAATCCTCCGCCGCCAATACCACTGTAAGACGGGCTGATGACACCTAGGCAAAATGCGGAGGCCACTGCTGCATCGACAGCATGTCCGCCTTGATAGAGAGCAGCCCGTCCGATTATCGAGCACAAAGTTTCATCGGTGGCCACTACGCCACGTCGTGCCACGACACTCCCGTCAACAGAAGCATGGGCCGTTTTGAGACTCGATGAAAACAGCAGGAGTAAGAAGAGGCAAACTGGTTAAAAAAAAGTTTATAAATATGAGAGTTCATAAATTTCATGAAAAATTACTGGATAAATGCAATAATCCAATTCCCTCAAGCATAAAGAAGCTTGTATTCACAGAATAATTTCAAAATGAGAACAAAACCTGAATAATAACCTGATTTCTAGTCAATTAAACAATCAAACTGGGAAGCCAAGGAATATAACTTCTCGTGCAAACCAGCTTCAGAGAACCAAAACCATCAGAATTGTCACATTCACACTAGACTAAATAAAACTTGCAGTATATGATCTAAGTACTCTAGCATGCAAATGCAATACTTTCGTGCCAAATTCATTGTTAAAACATTATATGGTCATGTCATCTCCTTTGCAGGCCGACATGTAAACTTATTATTTTTGCTCAAATTGTGAAAGATGGCACATAGCAGTAAATTACTAACTAAATATATCCAGGAATATTGAATGAAACATTTTCTCCCAAAAATATGGCAATCACATTTATTTCCATCAATCATTTCCCTTTGTTATCATCATCCAAAGTATCAACCGTAAGAAAACAAGCTGAAGGAGAAAGATACTTGCCCTCAGTTATGTTTTCCATCATATCATTTAAAGCCTTGTTGAGTGTACGAAATGGAGAAAATAGCAAACAGCCAGCCTCTAGACAATCTGATTCCTACCATGGAAAATATTGCATATTAACGAAGGTTAAAAAAAAAAAAAGTAAATGACCTCTCTCTACTTCAGTTGCAGATACCCACTAGTAGTAGATTAGGCCTTCATTGAGTAAAATGTACATCAATTATATTCAGCAAACCCCTAGCATTAAATACTTTTCACTCTTTGTAACAAAGGAACGATGAGTCATTAATCACAATCCACTTCTTTAATCAGGAAAGAGAGAGAAACAAAAGAAAACTACAGAGAATACAATCCTTTTTCATTAGGATACAATCATTAATGTTTAGCTAAGCTGTAAAGAGATGGAATTTAATTCACTGATGCAAGTCCTTGCTCAACAGTCAAATCTGAGATTATCCAGATTGATGAAAAAGGAGATAGTGGAGCCGACTTTCAGGAAAATCAATTCAGCATTACCTCATAATGCTGGGATTTTATTATCATACCTCCAAATCTTCAGAACTTCATTCCTGCATGAACAATATAAACAAATTACCACAGGGAAGTTTCTTTGCGTGATCGATGTAGCACGAGAAAATGGCATCATATATGTTGGGGTAAAGTTCAATCGGTAGTCCCAACTAGATATGTTTTAACACGTTGACTTGAGCTTCCATTCACCACATTTTACCATAAGTCCACTTGAGATGATCAGGAATTGAGTTACAATGAAAATTTCGGAAAGTAAAGTGCAAATTATTATGCGACAAGCACATCATAAAATCTTGATACATATTCTGCACCCAAGATTCCGACTTGGATCGTGAAAAGTGACATACAGTAGTTAGGTTAGGAAGGTGTAGGAAACGTACAAATGAGGTGGAAAATTGTAATTTCTCCAAATTGTTGATGCCAAATCAAGGAAGGAACCGATATCATCATGGTTCGGTTAAGAATGATACATATCTTAATAAATTTGAAAATTTTAAAATTTGACGGCTTCAAAATACAGATCTAACATAATATACGGTTTTAAATTTGAGATTACAGGCGAAAAGTCCTCGCAGATAAGTTTTTAATAGCTTCATAGCTGCATATGGTGAAAAGTCCTCGCAGATATGTTTTTAATAGCTTCATAGCTGCATATCATGTCTAAAAGCCAATCATGACCAATATATTTTTTAACAACAATGTCGGAATAAGGCGGGAAGAAGTGGATGCTATAATTCGAACTAAGTTTAGATGTTAAGTCCATTTAAGCAAGACAGAAACTCTAATCTATTATGAAATAGATTATTGCTGCTCGACAAATCATGTAACCAGAGACACGTATACAGGGAATGTACAAGGCCTTGAAGACAGTCCATGAAGCTGCTTTCCGTCACTGTTGACTGTTCTCAACTATAAAAAAACAAATTCTAATAAATATGAGAAAAGATGAATAATTTACTTAGCAATAACATTACAAATGTGCAATGTCAGTTTTTCTGATTTACCTTGGAGTATATTTAGTAATTCTCCAAACTGAGTAGTTTGTTAATCATCATATTCGATAATCACACCTAAAAAAATGTTAAATGAAGAAAAATATATATATAAAGACAAGAAGGGATATTCTGTGGTTAGCTTCCTAATGTAAATATTTGACTACAGGCACCCTTTTACCAACCATTAGATCACATAAAAATTCCATCTGAACACAATGGAATGTACAACCCCAAAAGGATTCTAGACAAGTTATACTTTGCTCCGTACTCGATTATCCATTTACTATTAATAATTAAATATATATAATATACAAAACATCAATATCCATATTTTACAAAAATACAAATCCACCCCCAAGGGCTTAACTCATTGACCAAACTTCTAAAATCGCAAATTAGTCCCTGGTCTTGATCTAGTTCTCAAAAATTAGCCCCAAATCCCTAAACGAAGACCAAACTGTTCAACAGAAGTAACAATCATCAAAGACCTTCAGTATACTGAAGAACATAGATTTATAACTTAATTACACAATGATTATTAATGTTAAACCAATAACAAGGCAGCTTTAGTCAGTTTAAAAAAATACCAACCTCTGCTCAATTCATTTGGCTGTTCAATGTTCATTAATATCATCCCACATAAGAACACATACGAAAATGTTAAATGTCACGTAACAACTCATTCAAGTACATGCTTAATGCACCTTGGGTCGCTACGGAAACAGCCTCCCTGTATAATTACAAGGGTAAGGTCTGCGTACAACTGACCCCCCAGACCCCAACCTGTTGGGAATATACTGGGTATGTTGTTGTTGTTGTTGTTGTTGTTGTTTCTTATCAAACTAAGATTTAAATGTGCAGTAACAGATTCAGAAATAGAAAAGAATTTTGTACTGAACTCTGTATCTTTAAACACAAAAGAAACAGAATCATGCACTAATACCCAGCTAGCAACCCACCTTTTCTCGGGTCAGTAACAGCAACGAGCTTGCCAGCATTCGCACCCTTAAACATTTGAATCACCAATTGGCACGATGGCCAACGACAGGCCCCTTCCAAGACATGGCCCTTTTGTCTCAACTCGGCCTGTATGCTGGAATTATATCCATAGTAATCCCCAAATCTTGATCTGTAGTTCTCAAGGTAGAGCACATTCGGATTTAGCTGCACCATATCAATTTGGTATATTAGCAGCCGTTGTATACTAATTACAGATTGTTGAGGAGCAAAAGCAATCAACATTCTAAACTTAGTCTGAAAAAGAAAAAAAAAAGTGAATGGGCAATATAGTCTCACCTTGTGGTAAAATCTTGCAGCCTTGACTGCACTAGAAGTATCCATTCTATATTTTAGGTGATTCATTAGCACCTGAGTCACAGCATCGGGTATTAACAAACCTCCGGCTGCACCTATCACTGCCTTTACCTTTCCATCCTGGAAATTACGTTGTCAAAAAAGAATAACTAGCCGCATAAAGGTAAAACGAAAATGTTTTGAGTCGAGTTTGTTTCACATATTCATATGTCGCAATTAATTGCATACATATGGTTGAGACATATAGGTAGCTACTGTTACAATATAACTGATATTTGAGTTGTAACATGGACAATATTATGAAGCAGCAGCATGAAAAATTTCAAATCTAATATGTTTTAAAAACGAAAATGCTGATAAATTTATTTATATGTGCCGTCTTCACTGAATACGAAAGCAGCCATTAAAATTTGACGGGAAATATTTACAGTTCCGATTTTAAAGACTTACATTAATTAACATCTAGCTCTACATATAGATATGTTTCCCCTGCATAATTAAATAAGGAAAATGGAAAACAGAAATTGTCTAAATTTCTTGCCTTCAGAAGAATGGTAGGCCCCATTGACGACAAAGGCCTCTTAAATGGTTGAATAAAATTGGCTGGTGCTGGTGGAGGGACGGTTGATATGGGGATGGAAAAATCGTACATTTGATTGTTCAGATATATCCCAGTACTTGGTGACACCAGTTTCGACCCAAATAGTGTGTTCAGACTTACTGTCATCGAAACAACAGTACGTTTATCATCCACGACACAAATATGAGTTGTCCCGTGATCGTGCACCGAACTCCACCTGCATTTAAATTTATGAATTGCTTGCACCATTATCATGGACAAGAACTGGTGGTAGAATCAACTTTTTCTATTTCGGACACGTCACAAGCAACTGAAAAAATTTTCATTTACTAAGAATATGTATAACAGATAACATCCTAACACAAAGAAACAGCAATATTATATATAGCAAAATTTGTTGAAAACACAAATGCATGCCATCACTGAACATATATAATAATCTTTTTCCAATTCGCTGTAATATCTGTTTCTATGACTGAAGTATAGAAACATAGCAGATATATGATCAGTGCTCATACAAGAGCATGATTCGATTAACAAGTTAATATTGAATGATTGAATAAGGAGAGTTGAAATTAACAGAACCGCTGAACTTGTAGTTAAAAATCAACTGATTTCACAAATGAGAATAAATATGAACATTTATGACAATCGCAAAGGAGAAATCTTGAGTATAGTTATCAGCATTTATTCAGACAAAAAAATCTCTTGCTACCATAATAAGCGCAATTAAAAATTTCTTATTGTCTTTTGATATGATCGAATAGAGTGAAGGAGATGCTCACTTGCTAACCATAATGAACAGGATCAAATGTTTTGTTGTCGTATATAAGATTTTTCAACTTCCGGGCATATCTTGTAGATATCATGTTTTTCAAGACGCAAGTGACATTCACAAATGCAGGATCTCCAAGATCCATCCTCCGAGCCAGGGCGTATTTCAATGCCTCAACAAGGCGATGCATAGCCAACGACATGGGAATGCTAGTAGCACTTTTGCAGTTGTAGTTAGCCAGAATGTTCAAAATGTGTTATACAAAAGGAAACAAAAAAAAAAAAAAAAATACTGTAACCCTTTCCAAATTTCATAGCACACTCGAAAAAAACTACGTAAAAGAAAACAAACTTACGAGCTGAAGCAGGAGGTGGCACCGTCACTAATTCGTAACCCATCACTCGGGCCACCAAAGGTCTCCGTTGAACAACCCGATATTTTTGAAAGTCTTCTTTCGTAATTATTCCACCAAACTTCTGAATTTCTTTGGCCAGGGTCTCTCCCATGGACCCATTGTAGAAAATGTTCATTCCCCATTTCGCTATGGCTTCCAATGTGTTTGCCAATTTTGTCATTTGGACGAGTTTGGGCAGAAACAAAAGCTCCCCATTTGGGGCGAATGTTCTGCGAAGCTCCTTGTCAGCCATGACAACTGATTTTGCATGGGACAATGACATGAAGAAAGATTCCGAAACATTGAAACCGTCACGGGCAAGATTCTCGACTGGCCTCACGATTGATTCCCATAGAAGCTTTCCGTATTTTCTGTGGGCTGTGTAGAGCCCGTCAAGCTGTTCCGGCACAGCTATCGACAGAGGACCAGTTTTCCACTTCGAAAGGTCCCGAACAAGCATTTCCTCTGAAAATCAAGTAACATTCAGCTCATGCCATGCCAAGTAATTACAATAGAAATGCACTTCCTTTTTTGACCTTGGTGATGTTGGCCACAGAGAGAGAGAGAGAGAGAGAGAGAGAAGATGTTGGTCCAAAAAACCAATTATTTTTAACTCAATCATTTTTTTAACTCAACCCTACTATTCTCAATATTATCAATATAATTAAATAATATCAATCAATCATTCCTACGAATCACATCAACTTTAATTTACTATTCATCCACTCACATCATTTTAACTAACCATCACTTCAAATCATCTATCTCCTAATTTTACATCAAACCAACTTTAATTATTTTATTTTAAATAATATTTTAATACAAACTCAAAATCCCACCAACAACTAATCATACCATCCTTTCCAAAATTAACTATGATTAACCAAAAAACCAATCAAAACCAAATCAAATTCATATCCAATCACACCCTAAATGTACCTTGGAAGCTCGTTCGGGTGCCATTTCTCTCATGTCGAACACTTTTGCTTCGCCATTAGATGACCTGACCAGCATAAGCCCTCCTCCACCAAGGCCATTGAAGGACGGGCTAACGACCCCCAGACAGAGTGCGGCCCCCACAGCAGCATCAACGGCATGGCCTCCTCGTTGAAGTATAACGCGTCCGATTTTCGAGCATTCTGTTTCGTCAGTAGCCACAATTCCATGGCGGGCTATGACCTTCTGCCCTTTACGAGCAAGAGCAATTTTCGGGTTTGATACCAAGAACTCGAGTAAGAAGAAAATGGCAAAACTGAGCCCCAAAGGTAGAGATGCTAAAACGGAGAAAATTTGAACATTTCAAACATCCACTATTGCCAAAATGATCGTCTAAAAACTAAGAAAGGCAAATGACAGCGTTTGGAAAATAAGATGTTCATCGATCAACAATTGAGTAAGCAGTCAATAGTTTTATACTTCTACTGGTACTCGTGGCTCGTACACAAGAACTTAAAGTTATTGTACGATTGCGTAAATTGTAATGCATGTCAGCTTACAGAGACTTGCTCATAAAAGAACCATTTAATCACAGATTGAGTATCATTTCATCAATTAAGCGTGTCGGAATTATTGATTAGCATTTTCTCGCTTGATCATGGCATAGCATCCAAAAATATCAAAATATGCTCACACAAGATGAAAGATATTGCATACCTGAATTAACATACAACTGATATAACAAGATATAAGATGATGATACACATACCACAAAGGATGTGAGAGGAACAGGATGAAGTATTCCAGATACTAATACACACTAATTGTAGATTAGGCCACATATTAATTAATAGATAATACCTCCCTCTTTATTAACTATTCTTTCTCCTTTCTGACAGAGGAACAATAGGTCATTAATATAAATCATCTTCTACAATAAGGAAAGAGAAATGTAACCAGGAGATTTAACAAAATCTAATCCATTTTCCAGTTAAACTATAAAGGACAAAGAAATTCAACAAAAGGTGCAATAAAAGAACAGCAATACTGCAACAATTAGTTCTTCAAGGAAAATACGCTCATTAAGAATTCTGATTATTTGTGGTTGTTCACTATTGAAGATATTAACTACTGTTTGATCAAATCATCAGTATCACAAACATGACCTGTATCAGGCTTATCACTTTTGTATCATCAATAGAACGCTATGGCATTTTAACTTGATGCTGTTGGCATACATACCTAGCCGAAACATCGCGTGAAGAAAGGATACAATTGCGCGAAACCATTGTGATACTAGAATTATAAAAAGTAAATGACCCTCTTTTAGCCCAGTAAATGAAAAATAGCTGCAAGATCAGGTCATTATTTACATTAGCATTATCTCAAACATCTAGTGCACACTAAAGCTTTCCCTTTTGAAGATAAATACGATATTTATGAATCAAAATCACCCCATTTCCAACTTCAATTGAAGAACGCCAACGAGTACAAATTTCTCTGTTTTTTGCCTTACCTATNAGAAAGAAACCCAATTCAAGATCACAAATATAAATCGAATCAAAAACGGATCTTTTAGCCACATTTCAAGGTTGCAAAAAGGGGCAAGAAAAAATACCTCAGAAACAGCTAACATTACCATAAATCCATAGGCTTTTCAGCTATAAGAAGCTTTTGTTCCCTATGATTGGCCCCCATGAGCCCTGCAACTCTACTTTTCCCAGCTTTAAATTAACCTAATTTCCTTTACACAACCTACTGAAATTCCAAGATTCTACGAAAACCCTTCTTCACATTCAGCATTAACTCCACTCATCAGCAAATTTCATCCCTAAAATACATGATAACGATAGGAATTTTTCGAACTCTTGTACCATAAAAGAAAAAATGTTATCCTAGCGATTCCCAATTTTATCCGGTCCATGAATAATACATCAATAAAAACGCAGCTCAAGACGGGAAAGGAATCATTACAACTGATCGGCTACAATGTTTGCAGTTCAGGAAATTAGCGAAAAATAAAATAAAATAAAATAAAACTGGATTAGGCGCTTTATCCAGACTAATCCAATCATTTGTTCGTTATTAAGGCGCATAACTATATCCAGTGGTGGTCGTATAAAATATTTAAATCACGTGCGCTACCGCCAAAGTCGCGGTTGTTGCCACTTGCCAGGGACAAGATACACGTACGTCCGTACTATTCTTTAATTTTTTATAAGTTTTAAATTTTTTTATGTAGTTTTGCTATGAAATTTGATTTCATAATGGAACTAATTTTCGATATACAACAAATAAATCATTAGGGGTGAGCATTAGTGTGGTTCGGTGAAAAACCGCACCGAACCTATTCATTATGCTTAAAACATAAGATACATCTGGTCTAGTGCATGAAAAACCGAAAACCAAAAATGTACATTTTTTTCAAACCGAACCGCACCGCGCTTGGAGAAAAAACCAAACCAAACTGCACTGAAATATTCGGTTTGATTCGGTGCGGTTTCGGTTAAACCTTAAATAACCAGGAAAACCCAAAATAAATTAATTTGAAGACAAAATTAGGGTTCTTGGCCACAATATAAAGAAAGAGGGAGAATTAGAAAAGGAAAGAAGAAGATTGAGAGCTGGCTTAAATTGAGGCCAGTGACGAGCGAGGGCCGGAGGTTGTAGGCAGCAGTCGGCGGTGGGCGAGCCTGAGAGAGAGAGAGAGACGAGAGAGATAAAAAGCATGTGGTTGAGATGCGTGGCTGAGAGTTGACAAAAATGAAGTCACGCAAGATTCAAGAAATAGGATTTTAAGTTTTGTTAATTGTAAATTATTTTTTTAATTGGTAATTACATTGCTATTACTTTATATGGCCAAACGGCCAAAGACCCCAAACCCAAATCCCAAAAGTGAAAAGCAAAAGTGTATCCCTGCCTATGTTATGGCCCAACAGTGCAAATAATCGTATTTTAACACATTCGGTGCGGTTCGGTTAAAACCGCACCGTCGGACACAAAACCAAACCGCACCTTTTGCGGTTTTCCTAAATTCTAACCGCACCAAAAACCGAACTCTTGAAAAACCGAACCGAACCGCACCGAATACATCGCTTCGGTTTGGTTTTGCAGATTCGACTCGGTTTTGCTCTACCCTATAAACCATACCATATTAATAAAATTATTAGTATTTAAAAATCTACATTTTAAGTAGATATTAAAATATTTCTTCAACAATATCTAATAGTATTCTAATATTTTCTCTCCACGTGAAAAAGTTCTTGCCCTTTTTCGTCAAACCCTTATTTTTGTCGGCTTACCTCTTCTGGCTAGACTTTCAGCGGCGCTGCGGCGCCGATAGGAACGAGTGGCTCTCCCCGATAGGAGTCAACGACCCCTCCCCATGGTAGAGCTTCACCGCACCACAGGTTGTCTATGCGTTTGTGGAGGGTTCGAAGGCTTCGAGTCGCGTGAGTTCAGCTTGCTCCGGCCTTCTTCGATGAGTTGGCCGAAGTTGGGTGTGGCTAGTGTTGTTAAATTAAACAAGTTTGACTCGGCTCGGCTGGTTAAGGCTCGAGTTTATTTAAAGTTTGTTTGGTAAACGAGTTGAGCTCGGTTCGGCTCGATAAGACTCGAAAAGAGATATTTATATAATTTTCTATAGTTCAGCTCGTTAAATCTCGAGATCGGCTCGAACTCGGCTCATTATAGATGTTAAACAAGTCGAGCTCGAGCTTGATTTTAGGCTCGTTTGTTTAACAAGTCGAGCTCGGTTCGGCTCGTTTACAGTCCTATGTGTGGTCCTCTTCCCCCCTTTTTATCTGCCCAGTGCTGATTTTATTATTTGGAAGTTGGGGCGGCGTGGGTCAGGTCCTGGGCTGAGTTTGGCTTGGATCGGTGGGGTTTGGGGGAGGTGTTCTGGGATTGGCCCGGTTGGGTTAAGAGTTCGGTTCGATGAAGGGTCCAGCTAGCCGCCGCTTGTCGGAGTTTATGGGTTCGTTTCTCGGGCTGAGTTATGTCCCTTTCGACGGGTCGTCTCCAGGTGTCGAGCAGTCGTTTGTGTTGTTTTTTATCTGCGGTTGGAGGAGGGCTTTATTCTTGTAATTGGTGTTTTTGTGCTGTTGTAGGCCTCCGGTAGATCCAGCTAGATTGTTGTTTAGCTCATTCTAGTTGTTTTCTAGTTGTAACTAGGGGTTTTTTACCCATAACATCTATCGTTTCAGAGGGAAAAAAGTAGATGTGATTATATTTCACTAATAGTGCACATACATAAATATAAGTTATAAAATATATGTATATATAATATTAAAATTAAACAATAAATAATAGACATATCACATTGTACAAGTTCGATCATTAGTAAAAATGAAAGATATAAATTATGTTGTTTTACTTATATATGAATCAATATATAAATGGCATAAAAAATAATGAATATTATAATTTTATAAACTTAGTAGATCTTGATCAATATGCCATTGTTATACAATTTTAAGGAGTTTAATTTGATATGTCATTAAAACTAGTTAGCTATTAAATAAAGCTTAATAAGATAAAAATAAAATTAAATATTAAATTTTACAATAAATAACTTGAAGAAAAAAATTCTAAATAAAAATGTATAAATTACATAAATTTTTTGTGTTAATTTATAATTATTCAATATTAGTATTAATATAATATATATATATATATATAATTATTAGCAAAAAAGTTATTACAATTTTTTTATATTTTCGCTCTTTTCGTTACATTTTGTGTTATTTAATTATTTATATTTTTTAATTATTTTACATAATAACTACTACTAACTAATCATAAAGACACATTAATAGTATTCTATTCTAAACTTTATGTAAACTATTTATATATAATAATTTTTTTTTCAACTCATTAAGCAAATTTATTATTAAAACTAATTAATTATTTTTATATCATAACCAAACTCTTTAAAATTTTGTGCACAATTGCTATAATAATAATTTCAATATTACTTTATCTAATTATTGATCATAATCAATCGAGATTGCGAAAATTTACTATATATCACAATCAATATAAAGATTAAAATGTAAATTAAGTAGTTTATACTTATATATTTCATTTTTACATATGATAAAGTTTATAAAATTTGATATGCTCATTATTTAACTTATGATTTAAATATTACAAACACAAACATATAACATATAAAATTTTATTTGAATTTATGGATATTCACAAGATTGTATAACAGTTATTATATGATAAAAAAAGTTAAAAAAAAAATATTACATTTGATTAATGTATCAGTGCCTAATTTTGGCTCAAGCACTCATGAGCCACTCAATTCATTTACAATCTTATCCACGATATCGTTTTAGTATATGTTGTTATGAGCAGACAATTCCTTCACACGAGGCAAAAGGGGCGGACGCAGACTTTAAGGACAATGGGAGTACAAACTACGGTCAACGTTGAATGTCAACGGTCAAATTAATATTTAACCAATAAAAAATAAAAGATTAAATCTTGACCAGACACCTTGTATTTTATTTAATAGTTAGGATTGACTCTCACATTCTCATTTTAATAATAGAGACATTTGATCCAATCCCAATATAGTATATACATTTATGTATAGTATTTATTTTTTTATGTATTTTGGGAGAGAAAAGGAAATAAACAATAAGTTGAGTATAGCATAAACATAAATTCCAAAACTTAAAAAATAACATACTATTGAATGTTAAATAATTCTAAACAAATCATTTTTATTTTTTATACTAAAATAACTTTGCATAATAATTAATAACATGTATTTTTTTATGTCAATATAATAATATATTTCTACATATAACATTTATACATATAACATATATATATTATATTACAAAAAAAGTTCTATAGGGGCCCGTGTCCCCACGGCCCCTGTGTATGTCCGCCACTGCGAGGCAAGATTTTAATGTTGATCTATCGATATATTTTAATAATGTACTCTGATATGTTTATTTTAGGGATATATCTACATTTTATTTTTATTTTTATTTGGTCAACCATAAATTTCAAAACAATTTAAACATGAGAATCGATCAAATCATCTTAATGGCAGATTTTATTTTATTTATTTATTTTTTTTTTTAAAAAAGTGAACTTATGCTCATGGTATTGAACTAATGATCCACTAATAAATGGCTAAAGAAACACACTATATCTTGTTTGGCCACAAACGAGAACAAAAATAGCTGTAATCATTGAAGCATAAAGGAAACGGCAGTCAAAATAAGAGTTGAGAAAAAATTAGATTCTATTGGATACAATAAGATTGGGCTTTCCCATCACTTTCCAAGAATAGATTATGCTTTAAGCTGCTGTATTTTATTGGTTGTACATCATTTGTGAGACTCGTGAGTCGTGACTTGAAATTGTATACACATAGATTGTCCTTGCTCTTTTACACTTTACTATTATAGCCGGTACTGAAAACCCAATTCACATGAATCAAACTTTATTTAGTTGGTGGGATTTATTGACATTTTGCCCTTTTCTTGATGTATTGGAGACCCACTCTATGAAACTTCATAAGGTTAGATTCAAAAAAATACAAATGTTTGTGTAAAAATGCGGTTCGATCCGTCATAATTTTTAAACAAAAATATACAATTATGATATAAATTAATATTTTATGTTATTTTAGTGACATTTTAGTCGATTAATTAAGTCTAATAATTTAGTTGTTGTACTCTTTTAACAAATATACATATTTTCATATTGCACCAGGTTCTCATTGTCAAACCAAAATTCAATGATCGACAAAAGCGTCCGAAGGAACATCAGCACTCTAACGCTCAAGATAGTTTATGCGCACTAAGTATCATAAGAATTCATATCCTATTTTCTTATCTTGGGAGGATGATGTAGCGCAGCGTACGATTGGAAATAAAGATAAAAGATTTATCTCTCAATTACGTAAAGTTTTATTCAACTTCAACTACTTAGAATAAAAGATGAGAAATCCTTAAATAAGACTTCTCAAAACCCTAGATTACTAGTTTAAACAACAAGACAATGATTCTAACAAAGTAATAAATAAATAAGTTTCCTCACAAATCTAGAATACTCTAATAATCATAATAATAAAAAGGGAAACTTGCAGATAATTAAATTAAAGATTCTAAATATCCTTATCTCCATCTGATGATCTATTTATATTGTATAGGTTATCTCTTCTTCAAGTTTTCCTGATTCACAAGATCTTGCATATCCCGAAGATATCGAAAATCTTCTTTCCATGTCTCCGTAGAATTCATCCCTTCCCAACTACCTTATATATCCTTTTATACGCTTTTTCAAGGAAAACTCGAACTCGAACACTTTTTCAAGGAAAACTAGTTCGATATCAACCTCCTAAATCCTAGACTCTGAATTGCCAATTAGCACCCTAAAATGTTTATCGAGTTGATGTAGGTGGTTGTATCACCAACTAATATATTTTAAAAAACAACAAATAAAAAATTTTATTCAAAGATTACGACAGTCAACTCGTCTAATCATTAGGTTGACTCACACAAGAATTTGTATATTTAAATTTATATTGTGGATTGGAGAATCAAATGTTAAGTGACATTGTTACAATACTAATCATGAATCCACAACGAAATTGTATCCACAAACAAATTACAGAAACTGGTGAAAGCACAATTCACTCAATGCTTGGCATAAGAAGGAAAAAGTTTAAATTATTCCTCAAATAATGATGAACTGTGTGTGGCCTGATAAAGTTCCACAAAAAATCCCCTCAATCAAACCCCACAGGTAAAAGAAATTGCCATTGTCAATAGCCTGTGCAGATTTTACCATGTACCAGACACAAAAAGAAAAAACAGGACTTACTCAAATTCCAAAGGAATGTTAAATTCCTAAAAAAACAATGAATCCGGCCCGAATACACTTAAATAGCCCGACCCATTTACCCAATCACTCTCATGAACCTCACAAACAATTTGTTAAGGCTAATTAATCATGGCCACTAAGCTTAAATGACAAATCAAGTCAAGTCGGGTCAAATGAAAAGTTGATTAATGTAATTCGGCCAATAGGCCTAACGTGTAAGGAGACATTAGGCTTTTCATTACTTTAATTATTCGTGCGTATGTTGATTTGTTGTGGATTTTAATGATGATTTACTTAAAGTAGAAAAACAATGAAAAAATAAGGGACAATTTGGCACTCAAAGCATTATTATAGGTTGTTCTTCATATTACTAAGACTCTTGTTAGACAATAGAGCAACTTTTGGGTAATCACACATTTTCAATAAAGATGCGTATTTTTATACTTAAACACCGTGATGATAGAAAATCAACATAATAAATAAAAATATAGCATTTCGTAATATAAATATACATTTTCTTACTTTTGTTCAAAATTTATGACATGCACATGTAAAGCTTAATAATGTGGCATTTATGACCAACAAATATACCATGTTATGTGCTTCTACATTTATAAAATGTGTGAGCTAGCTGTATATGCGGGTGAATGAGTCACATATTGGATTCTTGGCCTAGACATAACATTGTCCTATGCTCGTATTCTTTCACTAAAATAGGTATATTGAAAACCCATTCAATTAAATGTGAATTTACTTTGGTTGGTTGGATTTTATTCACCTTTGGCTCTTATCGAGGTAAAAGTCAAGAATCAAGGGCCTCCCCTCTTCTCTTCCCATCTTGTCACTTAAATTGTGAAGAATCTTGTTGATTGTGTCTAGACAAAGAATTGAAATCAAAGCTTTAAGAAAATAATAAATACTAGGTTACAACATTGCATATAGTAAAAGTAAAAATATAAAAATACAAAATAGTTACGTTTCCTTGGTAAAAAAAATTTACAAGTTTCACTTTTTTTAATACAAGGAAGCATATATAATCACCAGTGAACAATCTGTTTGAATGATCTTCCATGTTTGTCTGCATGGCAGAAAAGGATGTCCAAAAGTATCATGGGTATGCTCATAAAATTAATGTACTAGAAAAAATTTATCATACTTATCTTAGGGATATATATAGTAATGTCATATTTGAGGGATAGTAATGTCATAGTTCAGGGATATCTTTTCTTCAATAAACTTACTTTCATAATGTAATACCATACTTACAAAAATATTATAACATTGAGAAAAAAAATGAAATTTCATGATTAGATAATTTCATTTAAGAAATCACCAATATCAAAATATTTTAATAGAAATTCCTACAAACATTTTAACTTAATAATCTCATTTGCAAAAGTTTCAATGAAGTTCAAAAGTAAAATCTTCCATTCAAATTAAATTTTCCTTTGGAAATTAGTCACTTCAATGATACCTTTTCCAACGGTATATTGCATCAGAATTTTCCGTTGGAATGTTTCTAAGACCAATAATTCCAACCGTTGGAATAACTTCGAATGGATTCATCAAAATCCAATGAAATTCCAATTTCAATTAAACATTTTTCTTAGAATCGTCTTTGGAATTGTCCTACAGAAATAAAATAGCGTTAAAATTTGATTGGTATATATTCCCATCTAAATTTTCCAATGGAGTATGATAATGTTCAAGCAGGGAGTATAACAGAATTCTTGTTCTAATTCCCAGACAATGAGACAGTAATATTATTATTTTATTCAACTGATTCTTTCTTCTTCTTTTTTTAATGCTCTTTGATACTACGTAACTTGAAAACTGAATCCACTTAATCCAATATTCTAACTCATTTCAGCTTTCGAAACTTTCATGATTTTATATTTCAACTTGTTAGTATCCATGGAAAAACAATGACAAAGCTACAAAATGCATACTATGTTCCATCAAATCATGATATATTATTTGGCCAGTTAAATTCCAGACAAAACATATTCCTCAAACACAGCCGTACAAACCAGCTGATAACTAGCCAATGGAGTCATCATAATGCCCCAAAACACTACTACTACTATGTACCGCACCACACCGGATAGATAATTTTTTTTCAAACCGAGTTCTAATAATGCCCTATAGCTAAGTTGGGATCTCCGAAAAACACTAAATCGGGCACAAAAACAACCGACAAATAGCCCGAACGATCATACTAACCACTAGGCTAAGTCTCAAAAAGTAACAATTTACTAAATACCACTAATATATTGTCTTAGGCAATAGTCACTCTAGGCTTAGGTCAATGCAAGTCGGGTCGAGTCAAAGTCAAAGTCAAACTCAGTCCGAGGCAGCTGCCAAACTCGGGCTCTTGGAAGCAAGCTGGTGAGGTGGCTCGACAGGTGGGCCCGAGCTAGGGGAAGTCGGGACCTCCTCTGAGCTGGCGACAGGTGCTTCTGTGGGGCCCACTTGAGTATCAGAGTCGAGGGCCACAGGCTGTTTTGGTGGCTCGTCTCCCGTTTTTTCCTTCCCCTTTTTGGCGCCACCTCTCAGAATGATGTCTCGGAGCCTCTGCACGTCCGGGAGCTTGACGGGCTTCACGAGAAATTCTTCGGCCCCTTCCTGCAGACAGCTGAAAAAAAAAAAAATCGAGGCGCCCATTTATTACATGAGTCGAATGGCTAATTTCTATGATTAAAAACATATTTGAGGATGAACAAGTACTAGCAAGAAAACTCAGCTTCATGTTCAACAGTTCTTAAGTATCAAGAATTTGTAACTGTAATGATTATTTTTTGGTAATAATTTTCAAGAATGTTCAAGTGTGATTCAATTCTCCAGCACAAATGACATAGCAAAAATGAGAAATTAATCCCACAAAGAAAATACATATCAATGCTAGCAAGAAAACTCAGCTTCATGTTCAAGTATCAAGATTTTGTAATCACTGTAATGCTTATTTTTTTGGTAAGAATTTTCAAGAATGTTCAGGTGTAAGCTATTTTTTCCATCACAAATGACATAACGAAAATGAGAAATGAAAGTAATAAAAAAAATACCTTTCGATACGAGCAGCAACATTCTCGGAAGACATGATTGCCACGGGAATGTCCTTCAGCTTGGCCGAGCTCTGCCAAAACAGGATAAACAATAAAAATGTCATCTATAAGGGAAGAAAAATTGAAAAAAGGGTAATAATCTATNTAAAAATAAAAATAAAAATAAGAATAAAAAGATAGAAGAATAAAACCAACCTTGATCTTTTGGAGAAGCTCAAACCCAGTCATTCCTGGCATAGAATAGTCAGTGATTACCAGATCCACCTTCAAGCCCTGTAAACAACATTAAACAGATATTAGTTACCATAACAAAACTCCTTAAACAATAAATTCAAATAGTACTCATAAAGAAATGTGTTCTACTAAAAGTGGAGAGTAAATTTCATTTCCCCAAGGGAAGATACAAAAAATAAGAAAAAATAAAAGAACAATCGGATTAGGGGAAAAAAAATGCAAAAGAAGATTCCATTTTTAAACTACTCCCTAGACCCAAACCAAAATAAAAAATAATACAGGGGGATTTTTATGTTGTAATCATTAATTAAGATTTACAAGCTAAAACCAGAAAAGGGATCATCATCGGTTGACTAAAACCCAAGCCAACCACACTAAAACCAGCACAAAGAAACAAAAACAAGAAAACAAAAGGCATCAAAACAAGAAAAACCAAAAGCACCAAACAGAGAACAAAAGCGATTATTCCTTTTATTATTTTCCCTTACATCAAATCCATCAGAGCTTTTCTCCTCGTCCAGGCCCAAAACCTGCAGAGCCTTCGTCCCACTTTCCACGGCAGTCACTGCAAGAAACCTCATTCACAACCATTTTAGCCAAAAAAAAACACAATAAATTATAAACCTCAGCCTAAAAGCTAAAACCCACCAAAAAAACATAAATAGAAATTCAACCTTTGCAGCCAGAAATCTTGAGCAGGCGCTCGACAACCTTCCTGTCCACAAGACTGTCATCAACAACAAGAACATGCAGCTCTGTAGCAGCCTGTGAAGAACCTTCAGTGTCCATTTTTGCAGCTTCCATTTTTGAAAAGTTGGAATCTTTTTTTTGCCCTGTGGATTTGTATGAGCTTGAAGACCAAGAAAACTACAGGGTTTGTTTTGTTAGGCCGTTTGGGGGGAATATATAGAGGCGGTGAGCTAAAATGTGTGAGTGTGTGTATGAGAGAGAGAAAGAGAAAGAGAGGTTAAAAATTTACAGAGGGGGAAAAAGAAAGGGAAAAATCGGTTTTAGGGGGGCAAGGGGAAAAAGGGAGACAAATAGGGGAAANTGCATGTTTTTTTTTTTATTTGTGACATTTTAAGTTCGAGTGTAGCTGTGTGGGGATGAGGTTTAACCCTTTAAGTTGTGCTGGTGCAATAAATAGTAAATAGTTCAACATGAATCTAATGCTAAATTCAAATATAAATAAGTATTTATAGAATAACACAAATTTTTGCATGAGCTAACATAGTTGTTAGGCAGATCGACGGTTTTTTAGCGAAAATATATACTTATATCATGAAATGTCCTACTTTTATTTATTTTATTTTTTAGAATGACGTTTCAGTTTGAATGTACTCATATCAATTGACAAAGTACGCTACTTAATCATTAAGTTTTTTTCTAATTGCAACATTATTAATATGGTAATTATACTAGGCACATAAAAAAAAAGTAACAAATTCTTGTATGATCCGACTATTCGTGAGACGAGTGAACCCGTCATTATACTATCACAACAAAAATATTTACTATATCAAATGTCATACTAATATTTATGTTATTATTATAACTATGACATTTTCTAATCAAATTATACATATTTAACAAAATGTTACATACCAAATATTGTACTTATGTTTTATATTATTTTTAAATTCTTGCTAGGTTGTGAAATTTTTCACTGTGATTTGTCGCACCAACATTCAGCTAATTGTCTATGCAATTTACTGTCAGCTTCATAGTTACTTATTGAGCTAAAGATTATCATCACTTTAAACCATCAATCACAAATTCTAGAATTTTGTCATCTATTAAGGTGTGAATCAATATACTTTTTTTTCGTGCAACGACTATTTTAAAATTAAGTGTAATTAAAATTTAACATTTTATTACACTTTTTAAAAGGCATATTACCAAATTAATATTATGATGAAGCTTTTTCAAAATATAATTAAATAAAGATATATATTTAAAAAAATGCAAATATAATAACTCATATATGGCGACATTTGCTTAACAATCACCACTTAATATGTCATTTACTGATATGATAAGGAATCAAGTTATCACATAAATTTCATATAATTCTTACACATATTCACACATGCGCATATATTTCTCATTTGATTGTATTTAAAATTTGTAGTAAGGATTGCATAAAATCGTAGTCATATATATTAGTTGATTTTTCCTAAATGAAACTTAATATGTCATCTATTGATGTGACAACAAATCGACTTATCATATAAATTTCAAAAACTCTTATTACTCATCAAATGAAAAGAATTGCAAAAGCCGATACAATTCAAAATGACAAAATGCAATAGCACCAAATTATGAAACTCTCCAAGATTTTGGATTGGGATACATTTTCATACTCAAAATGAGAAAAGAATAAAACTTTACACATATTAAGCTTTTCGTTTTGTTTAATGATTTGTGTAGCAGATAGCGCCGTACGTGACATGGTTTGGTGAAAATTCTGGTGGATACAGTCTGCTGCCACGTGGTGGTTTATTAGGTGCACTATTTTATTTCTATTTTTACTTTTGAATTTTATTTTTGAAATAGAAAAGGACAAATTATTTTTGAAACAGAAAAGGACAAGGTAAAAAAATAAATGGATTAAAAACAAATGAATGAATAACCGTATGGTCATTCAGTGGGTGTGATGCAGTGCAGTGGGGCTGGTTGTTGACTGTCTCGGATCTTGGGCTCCTTGATTGACTGTACAATTTTGATTTTCTGTACTCTGCATGGAAAGTTAATGACATTTATATATATTTGGAAAAAAAAAAAAATTAGCATATGTTTCAAAACTATTAATAAAATCCCCCCAAAAATAAAGAAGGAGATAACGAGCTTGGTATGTAACACTATTTGAAATTTTGGTTAAGGTTAGGGCTGTTTTTCGAATCGAACGTTCGCGAACAAAGCTCGTTCGAGTTCGTTCGTGTTTGAGAACAGCTCGTTTGTTTAGCTTTTGAATCGAACACGAACATAAAATTAAGCTCATTTAGTTATCGAACGACACGAACATGTTCGCGAACTAATTGAGCGTTCGCGAACAAAAAAATATTTTATAATTTTATATATTATATATAGTATATACATGTATAATATAATATACAAATATGAATATATATTAAATATTAAATAAAACACAAATATTTTATAATTTTATATATTATATATAGTATATACATATATAATAGAACATATAAATATGAATAGATATTAAATAATAAATAAAATAACTTGTATGACATTAAAATAAAAAAAAAAAAGTTAAAAAACACGAACACGAACATGTCGAACAACTCGAACACGAACTTGTTGAACAATTTGAACAGTTCACGAACATGTTCGATTAGATAAACGAACGAACACGAACGTGTCGAACCAATAAACGAACGAACACGAACAAATTTTTTGTTCGTTTACTAATCGAACGAACACGAATATATTCGAAAATTAATCGAACTCGAGCTCGAACATCTTAAGCTCGGTTCGGTTCGGTTCGATAACAGTCCTAGTTAAGGTTTGGTGGTTCAATTAAACTTTAAAATATTAATTTATTTCAGTTTATGATGTAGCCTCATTTGGATTAATCATCTAAAGTATGATTATAATTTATAGTATACCATTCGTGTATTAATTAAATTAATGAATTAAAAAATTGAAGTTTTTACTTTACATTTTCAATTACTTTGTAAAATTGTATTTTTATTTTATGATTGTTTTGCCTGTTTTTGTTACTCCCACCTATTATTTTTAGATGTCATTTTGTCTTTATCAACCAATCTTTTGTACATATTTTTCCATGTGTATCTTCATTTAGCTAATAAGTACACTACATTTTTTCGTATCCATTTTTCATCTTTTTTCCAAAACATTCATAACTATTTTCATCAAAGAGGGTTATTATTGACAAAAAAGAAAGATTTTTAATTACTGTGCAAAATTCGCAAAACGAAACATATTAGGAACATGAGGGAGTATTATTTTTAGCATTTTTATAGTTTTCTCTTGAATTTGTGTTGAATATGTAGTAGTTTATGTTGTCCAAATTATTTGAATATCATCATGATTAGCTGATTGATCACCATTTAGTTTAAATAGATAACATAGAAATATATAACTGGAAGAAAATAAGGTATCAAACCATTGTTTAAATGGGTAGACATGTTTGTAAATGCATTCTCAATAAGTTTGTTGGCTAAAATACGTGTTTGCGTATATCCAATCTCGTGTTTATAAAAGTATCGGTATCGAAGACAGGTCTAGGCCTGTGCGAATGTTTTTACTTGCTAAATTATGTTCAATTTCTCATTACGAAAGTAATTGAGAACGAATCGTTGAGCGCTTAAGCCTCACTCTTTAGTCATAACAATAATATGTTCGACGTAGATTTTAGAACTTGAGAAGATTATTCTCGACACCCTAGACTTTCTTCTACATTCTATTTACCAATTTTCTAGTTATTTAATTGCTTTTCTAATCTTTGTTAGTTTATAGATAATTTCTCTAAGTTATTCTTAATTTCTTCTCATGTCCCATCTACACCAACACTAGATTTCGAAACGTCTTCCTCGTGAGATCGATCCAAGGTCAGAATTCATCGTGTATTTTGTAGAAAAAATAAAATTACCACAACAATGGCATTCATCACTTGATATCTCATTCGTCTTATATTATAATAATATTAGTAATTTCGTAGCACATTATAGGCTTATAAATAAATTTATTTAATTAATAAATAATAATTTTATTCCTTTTCAATTAAGATGATTATATAATTCATTTTATGTATGAAGGTAGAAGTTATTTTTTATATGTAATATGGATGTTATTTCATAGGTTGATTTAAAATTATTAATTTTATATATAATTTGATAATAAACAGCAAATTATCAAAGTTTTACAATGCATGTGTAATTTAAGTTGATAAAATGTTGTGTAACTTTAACGTTTTTATATAATGAATTCAAAATTGACACTTTTACTTGAAAATTTTTGGTACACTAGATAGATTTGCATTCACATAAAGTAATTAATTTGGGATATATTTTTAGAAAGAAAAATAAAATCATGTAGGCCGATTATGCTATAATTTGACACATTACTTGAAAATTTTTGGTACACTTTGCATTCACATAAAGTAATTAATTTGGGAAAAATATATATATATATATATATATATATTTTTAGAAAGAAAAACAAAATCATGTAGGCCGATTATACTATGGTCCTGATGGAATCTATCAAGTTTACTCAAGCGACCACGTTTTATTAATAAGTAATTAATTGTCCATCTACAAAAGTTTGTCAAAAAGCACACATTTTTTACCCAGTTTGCATAAGCGATAATGTCACTTCACATTAATTTACTCAAATCTCCAAATTCGACAGCGACCACATAAAATAAAATAACATAAATGTTGACTTCAATTGTTAGGGCGTGTTTGTTTGGCGCTTGATGAAATGAAAGCATTAATTATGAAAATATCCCCAAAAGGCGACTCGAAAAGTGAGAGAGTGAGGAAAAAGCCGCCAAAATCGAGAAAAGTACGAGCGGGCCCCACGCCCTTTCATCATACACACGGCCAAACAGGTCCTCCGGCCAGATATCCGATAACGTGGACGGTGGGGCCCACTGGGGGATTTTGGAGGATTAATCTCTTCAATGCCACCCTCCTAACTTTGACGGTCCATTTATATTATTGTACCTTTTTCATACGTATTCATCATTAAATTACTATACTCACTTTTTTTTTTTTTTCTTTCAAGTTCCTATATTTTTTTCATATAATATTGTTATAGTTAGTTGTAGGGGTGTTCACGGTCCGGTTTTAACCGGAAAAAACCATCATTCCGGACCGCGGATCGGTTAAATGGTCAGTTAAAAAAGCCTTAAAAAATCCGGTGGTTAATTTTTTAAAAAATCCGGAATAACCGGTCCGGTTAACGGATTACCTGCG